ATCCTCACAGACTGAGGTCTGTTTGTTAAGAAGTCTAGGACCCAATTGCAAATAGAGGGGCTTAGTCCTAGTGTGAGCAGTTTGTCCATGAGGGTTTGGGGGATCATGGTGTTGAAGGCAGATGTGACGTCCACAAAGAGCATACGGACGTAAGAGTAGTGTGGACCATAGAGGAGATGGCATCCTCTGTTGATTCGTTCTTGCAGTATGCGTACTGGTGAGGGTCCTCGTTAATGTTGATGGTTGTTCTGATGTGTGTGGGTTGTAGATGAACATATGCTGTATATATATTCATAAATTAAACGGATTCTTTCATTTTTCTGGACTGGATAATATCGTGCATTGAATAATTAAAAATGTGGACGGAAACGTGTTTATCTTTGACTCACCAACGACAGTGGGTCATTTATTTAACAACGATTTAAACACATCACACATTTACATTAATTGGCAAATTGAAAAATAACAACATGGCTAATTTAGCAAGTTTTACAAGGAAGACCATACGGCGATGGTTGAAAACCTTGCTTCCAGCTGTACAACAGACATTTCTAAAAATATCTGGAATGATTTCTAGCAAATAGAAGAGTTTAAAGATGGAAAGATGAAGTTTAGATTGAGTGAAAGGATGGACGAGGGAAGTGTTTGTGTCGGCATCAGAACGGCACTCTCCGGTGAGTTCCCAGCTTCTTCCCCAGTACACTTAGGTGGTATAAATCAACTCTTTTACCTGGAGGAGGTGATTCCACTGGTACGGAGTTCCATTTAACGCACCCTTTCAGCGTCTCCGTAGGAACAGCTGTGAATCGTCCGAAGTAGTGACGGTATTCCGTCCGACACAGGTTCACCTCTCGGTGGACTCACAAGAGTGGAGTCCGTCAGAGTTCCACTCAGAGGTGGAAGATGTCATAATCCCAAAAGACTCGGAAGAGCTCTGGATCATGCTGGACTTCTGTTCTCCCAGCACTGGAGCGGCAAACGACTGAATCCGGAGCCTGAAGCGACTGGTTTGAACTAGGAAGTACCAACATTTAAAGGGCTCTATTTCCGGTTCATTTGGGAGTTTCCTGATTGGTCGTTTCGACCAGACAGGGGTGTGTTTTTGTGATGTAAGAGGTCACTAGGAGTCAGAAAAACAGCAAGAATGTTATGGAACAGATTGAAAATGTTTTTCATACAGACGAGAGGAATATTTAGACGAGTTGGGGGAAAACAGGTGCCAGCCTCTATATTTACGTCTGAGAGGATTTTAAAAACATGACAGTTCGTTCCAACAACTTGTTTTGCGTTTGACTCCAACCTTGGACCAGCTTACACTTGCTCATTCAAAGACAGAAAATCAGAAAATGCATAATTACTCTGTAACAGACATCAACATGGTTTCCTTTGCATGAGGATTAAAATCATTATTACTGTTTCACAGTTAATTAAAAATGATTAGTTCACTGCAACATCTAAAAATGGTTTGAACTAAAAACACTTTGATTATCAAACATTTGTAAAATAGTAATGATAATAGAAAAGAGAGTGTTCTTTCACTTGATTAATTCAAGAAAGAAAGTCTCAGGATGGGTCAACCTGTATTTCTGGATTCAAATCAATGAAATGACAGTTTCTGTCCCATAAGGTCCTTAAGGTCAGGATTTGACCTCAGGCTTAGTTCACTACAGGGTCATGACCAGTTTTTCGAAGCATTTAATGCCTATCAGGGTGAGGGCCACTGGCTGATAGTCATTCAGACCAGTCACTGTAGAGCTCTTTGGGACTGGGATGATGGTGA